GGTCAAGCTGCTAATCAACAATTTGCTCGGCTTCGTCCAGGATGGCGAACTCTGGCGCGATGGTGCTGTCCAAAAAAAAGTTACCTGTGCCAGCGCTCCGTGCCCAGGCTCGTGGAGGCAGCTCGTGAGGCTGAAGCGCGAGCCGCCGCAGTTTGCCTGGGCCCCCGCCCACATGACCGAGGATGATGTTTTTCCTACACCTGAGGACCCTCCTCCTCCTCCTCCTCCTCCTCCTCCTCCTTCTCCTCCCTACCACTGGTACGTGGGAAACACGTGGGCCGACTTTCTTGCCAAACTAGGGGCCTCGTCTGTCAAGGTCCCTGATGGCCACGCGAGATGTTCGAAGGAGTCTCTTGCACGGGCCGCCCAGTTTGCCAAATATTTAGGTTGGGTGGTCCTGCGAAGTTGCAGGCTGGAGGTGTGGTATGACAAGGCTGCACTCACGCCTGGACTCGGACCTTCTGTCCCTGCGGGGCAAAATATTGCCGCGTCGTTGCACGACCATGAATTGGTCGAGATCGGTGGCAGGCTGTTCTGCAGGACGTGCAGACGGTCTGCCAGGACGCCCGAGGCGAGACGCCAGCTGGCTGGCGGCACGGACATGCGTTGCCACCCTTCGGCAATCCACACCTTGCAGGCGATGATCGTGGAGGGTGCCGCCACCAACCGCCAGCCTGTTGGGTATGTGGGGTCGGTGGGAGCGGGGGGGTCGGGGGTGGCGTCGTCTCGAGGGGGGGACCTTGCTGGGTCCTCCGGGGAGGGGCTTGTGCCTGCCCGTTGGGGCGAGGCTGGGGCCCTTGTTGGGGTGGCCTCGGCTCTGGGGAGCCTGATGCGGGTCCGCTTAGGCTTTCTGCGCCTGGGGGGCACGACGCTAACGCCACGGGTACGGTCGTCTGGTGTCGGCGGCGGGGGGCCTACGGGCCCGTCGGGGTGGGGAAGGCTTTTGGGGCCCCCTGCCCTGGCCCCAAAAGTTCGGCACCCAGCAGGCTGAGGGTCCTCAACAGCTTGCTGGGGGCCAGCACCCCAAGTCTGGCCAACCCTGGGGGGGGAGTGGCTGACTGGGCTTTCTTCTCTCCCCCTGGTGGTGGAGCTGTGCCTGTGAGCAGACGCTGTCTCCTTACTGCATTCCTGCATTCCTCCTCCCCCCTTCCCCCTCCTACACTCGGGGCCCTGAAGAAGGAACCCTTTTCGTTGGGGAGGGGCTCCGCGTTCCTTAAGTGTTTCGCAGCTTGCCTCAGGTGTCCCTTAGGTTTTCGATATGAAATCGAAGTTTAACTTATGGAGAAAAGGTGCCCCATTCCTTATTTAGGGTTCTTTAGGTCAACGCCCCCACTGTCCTGCATTCCTGCATTCCTCCTCCCCCCCTCCCCCTCCTACATCTGGTACTGGTGGTGGGAAGTGCGTCCATCCATAACTCCTGGAGCTTCCCGCGGGTGTCTCAGATCCTGCGCTGGCCCCCCCCCCCGGCTCCCTGGGGCGCGGGGCGCGCCAGGGGCGGGGCCCAGCGCCGATCCATTGGCATCTGCGCGGGGCTCTGCATAGCTGTATGGTTGCGTCGCTTCGTCGCCTTCCAATTGGGTTTCAATCGGGCGTGCCCCCCCCCCCCTCCCATCCTCCTCCCTCCTCCTCCTCCTCCTCCTCCTCCTCCTCCTCCTCCTCCTCCTCCATTGGGGTTTCAGTCGGGCGTGCCCCATCTGCAGGAGGAGTAGTCCAACCAAGTGGTTGCCAAATCGTAGATGGACGATGTGTCGAGTATGCCTGGTCAGTGTTGGGTAGGTGTTGTAGATGATTATCTGTGTCGCTTCATAACCGCCCGTAGGGGGGACATGCCCGGCCTAAAAGTATGTGGTCGCCCCTCACATTGGGGGGGGGATATCTTACCTCCTGCCGATCCTGGCCTCCCCTTCTTCGATCCAAGATCTTTCTCCCCTTCCTTCTCCGACCCCATCGATCCTCAGTCCTCCTCGATTGATGTCCCCCGATCCGCATCCCCGTCGGTCCCCAGCCTTGAATGTCATTATCGGGCATTGCTTCCAATCCTTTTTTTTTCCTCTCGGTCTTCTTTACGTTGGACACGCCTGAGCTTCAATGCTGGAGGGTACCACGGAAGGTAACAATGTTGATTGGGCAGCATGGACAACAAACAATTCGAGGTCGCGGCGGGCGCGGGACATGAATGGTCAAGAACATGACAAGAGACGTGGTGTTTCTGCGGGCTAAAGGATTTACGCAGTCGGCTTCCTAGATCCTCCTCTTCCTCCTCCATGTTGCTCCTCCTCCTTCTCCTCCTCCTCCTCTATCCTCCCTCCTCCACCTCCTCCTCTTCTTTTCCTCCTCCATCCTCCTCCTCCTCCCCCTCTTCCTCCTCCTCCTCCTCCTCCTCCTCCTCCTCCTCCTCCTCCTCCCCCTCCTCCTCCTCCCCCTCCCCCTATCCCTCCCCGTAGCCATTTTGGTTCACGACGGAGCGTACCTCTTGTCCCGACCCCAGAGGCCCGAGGTCGAGGCGGAAGGGCAGCCCGTTCCTCGGGCCGGGTTGCCTCGGCCAGTCTTTGCGCCTGCGGAGCGTGCTGATTCCTGCGAGGTCCTGTTGGGGCATTCGCCCCGACGCGTCCTGTCCACGTGCCGTGGGCGGGAGGCGTCGCATGCCGTGGTTCCGTGGGGAGCAGCAGAAGTGCAGGTACCGGCGCAGTGTGTGCTCGAAGCCTGGTCATCTGGAGTATGGTTGTCACGGAGACCTGCGTGTTCGAGGTGCTTTTGCCCGTACGTCGCCAAGCCCTCTGGCTATGCGCGGGGTGGTTGTGGGGTTGGCTCTGGCCATCACGACAAGGCTCGAGCCCACTCTTGAGGATGAGATCGAGAGTGTCGCTGCCAAGTGCCCCAATCGTGCTGGTGCCCTTCGTGGCGCTCGTGGTCTTGTTCCTCCTCGGCCTGGTGCTGCGGCCCCCGTCTCTTCGAGCGACAAAGACCTGGAGATGACGATTGCCAGGCACCGCACCGCCCTCGCCCTTGCCGTGGAGCGGGACTCCAAGGGGGCTGAGCGGGACTCAAAGGGCGCACCGCCCTCAGCGCTTGGCCCTGTATGTGGCTGAGCAGGAGCTTGCGGCGGCGGTGCATTATAGGGAAGCTTTCGTACGTGCCGAGGGGGGCCATGCTGAAGCAGTGGGCCAGCTGGAGCAGGCTGTTCTTGCGCATCGTAAGGCCTCTGAGGAGATGGATACTTCCGAGCCTCTTGATTTCCGCAGGCAGATCCTGGCTGAGGAACAAGTTGAACGTGAAGCTCGTGTGCGTGAATTATCTGCGGCAGGCGGAGGTGCACAAGGTCAGATTCCTCAAGGCGCAGCTGCTGAAGCTGTACCCCCAGGTGGAGCTCAACCTGCTGCCATGCAAGGCGATGAGCCACCTCGCCCAGGCCTTCAGCCTACTGGACCTGAGCGGCCAGCTCAGCCCGTGCATGGTGGAGGGGTGCAGCAGGGTGCAGTCGGCCATCCAGGTGCCATCCCGCCATGTCCCCGAACCTCCACAAGATGCCCGTCGCGGAGCCCCGCGAGTGGTGCACGGCGAACGGGCAGAGGTACGAGCTTTGTGCACAGGTTGTGATTGCCATGCCAATCCTCATGGTGATATTGCTTCCGGCATGTCTGACATCCGCGACGAAGCCCGACGGCACGAAGAGTTGGACAACCTCAAGAAGCGCAACATCTCATCCTTGTCAGGCGAGGAGCTGTCGCGTCTGGAGAAGCTCATGCAGAAGTCTGCCAACGCCAAGGCCGCTAAGAGGTTCCGACTCCTTCGTGGCACGGCGTCTTCCAGCTTCGGTCAAGTGCTACGGCAGTTGCGGCCTGAAGGTGCGCAGGAACATCCAGTCCAAGTTTCAGCCTCCGTTGAGGTAGCTGTCCCAGCCGAGGTACCTCCCACGGGCGGCTCCGCGCTTGCAGGGGCACGCGCCGATGAGCAGACTCTTTGGCGAGATCAAGCCTGAGTTCGTGAGGAAGTTGACGAGCAGCATCGCTTTCCATGTTTGTATCATCACCTGGTGGAGCCAGGTTACGCTTGATTTCTTGCAGCTGGCCAAGCCAGTGAGTGATGGACTTTTGTTGCCGAGTATAAATTAAAGTTCATTGAAGCGGCCAAGGCCAAACGTAATGCAGTTCAGACAGATTGGAGGCCTCATCTATCTCCCCTTCCCCTTGTCGTTGCTTGGCCTGTGGCAAAGGCCACCATGAGTATAATTCGGGTTTGAACTGGCAGTGCTTGGAATTAAAAAGCGTAGTCTCGCTTGATAGCTGTAGGCGTGATTAATCTGGCTTCGGACTTGGGATCCGCTGGGGAGAACATCGACTGACTGAGGTCCGTTGCGGGTTTCCTGGGGACTTTGGTCATTCCCTGGGTTATGATGGGTGACTTGAATATTCCGCCTACCGATCTTGAATAATCTGGGTTCGCGCAGCTGGTCCGTGCTCGAGTGGTTGTTCCAAGTAGTGTAGACGTGGCTTGCGCAAGGACGCGGATCCATCATTGACTATGTGTTGGTCTCATCCGATTTTTTGGAGTACGTGAACGCTGGCACCTTCAACCCCGACCCCCTCAAAACCCATGTGTGCTTGACCGTCTCCATCCATCATGAGACTTTACTTCAGGGCACGTGGCAGCGTGAAAAGCCCACGCCCGCTCCGGAGTGTCTCGGCCCAGACCTTCCTCGGAATCGGATACCGCGGCAGCTACCCGACCCTGGACAGGTAGCCCAGCAACCAGTCACCACGCCCAGAGGTAGAATCTAATATAATATTTCATAATAGCATAGAATGCAATAGGCTAGAACATAATAGGAAATAATAGATTGGAATCTATAGGATATACTAGGACTAGAATCCTCCTCCTCCTCCTCATCCTCCTCTTCCTCCTGCTCCTCCTCCTATGCCTCCTCCTCCTCCTCCTCCCCCTCCTCCTCCTCCTCGATCCTGCCCCCCCATGCCCCCCGGCCCGCCGTGCCGACTCCGCAGGCGGAGGCGGCGGAGGCGGAGGCCGCCCAGGAGGGGCAGGGCGCCGAGGGCGGGCCGTCGGGCGGCGAGGCGCCCGGCGGGGCGGGCGGGAGTTCGGGGGCGCGAGGATCTCGGGGAGGATCGAGGATCGACGGGGAGGGGGAGGAGGAGGAGGAGGAGGAGGAGGAGGAGGAGGAGGAGGAGGAGGAGGAGGAGGAGGAGGAGGAGGAGGAGGAGGAGGAGGAGGAGGGGGAGGGGGAGGGGGAGGGGGAGGGGAGGGGGAGGGGGAGGGGGGAGGGACGAGGATCGAGGACCGAGGATCGAGGATGGAGGATAGAGGGTGGCAGAGAAGGAGGAGGAGGAGGAGGAGGAGGAGGAGGAGGAGGAGGAGGAGGGGGAGGACGACGGATGACTGAGGATCGACGATCGATGATCGAGGAGGAGGAGGAGGATTGAGGAGGACGAGGAGGACGCGGAGGATAGAGGATCGAGGAGGAGGAAGAGGAGGAGGAGGAGGAGGAGGAGGAGTGTTCATCTGTCGAGGAGGAGAAAGACCGGCGAAGTGGAATATCGAGGAGCGCCGAGGTTCGAGGAGCTGGAGAAACTGTGTTCAGGGATCGAGAACCGAGGAGAGGATGAGGACGAGGGCGAGGAGGAGGAGGAGGCGAAGCATCGAGGGGTGGAGGATGCGGCATGGGAATGGTCGCGCCGCGACAAAACTATGACGGAATATTGTTGGTGGAGCATGGCGTTTGGGGAGTTTTGCCGTGCCCTGGGGCCGTCAATAAAACGGAGTACCGAGGAGGAGGCGGAAGATGATTTTGGAGGAGGAGGAGGATGAGTGAGCGAGGAGGAGGAGGAAGACGAGGATGACGAAGAGAACGAGGAGAACGAGGTGGACGAGGAGGACGAGGAGTACGAGGAGGACGAGGAGGACGAGGAGGAGGACGAGGAGGAGGAGGAGGATGACGAGGAGGTGGAGACGAAGCATAAGAAGAGGAGGAGGAGGTGGAGGATGATATTGAGGGGGCGGAGGAACGAGAAGGAGGAGGAGGAAATGGAGGAGGAGGTGGAGGAGGGAAATCGAGGATGATAGCAAGAAGGATCGAGGAGGAGAAGGAGGAGGAGGAGGATCGAGGGGGTGGAGGAAGATCGAGCATCAGGAGGAGGTGGGAAAGGAGGATAACCCAGGAGTGGTAGGAGGAGGATCGAGGGGCCAGGAGGCGGGGGATGAGTACTCCAGATTTCGTAATAAAAGGGAGGGGGTCAGGACCCTCCAAGACAAGCCATTTCAGACCTCCCCCGTGGGCGAACCCTCCAAAACATCGTCCCCAGACCCCCCAGGCCCTCCAAGATAGCCTGGAAGAGAACCCCCCCCCCCGAAATGAGACCCCCTCCCTTTATTACGAAATCTGGAGTATCAATCATCGAGGGGGGCGAGGATCGAACAAAAGGAGAGCAAGGGTCGAGGGTTGATCGGGGAGGAGGAGGGGGAGGAGGAGGAGGAGGAGGAGGAGGAGGAGAGGAGGAGGAGGATAGAGAGGAGGAGGAGGAGACGGCGGAGGAGGGAGGAGACAGGAGGAGGAAGAGGAGGAGGGGAGGAGGAGGAAAGGGAGGCGGAGGGAGGAAGAGGAGGAGGAGGAGGAACAGAAGGATCGCTGATCGAGGAGGTGGAGAAGGGGGGGTCCTGGGGCAGACGGGGGGTCATACGTAGAGGGAGCAAGGAGAAAACACCTCCTCCACCTTTTCCTCTTCCTCCTCCTCCTCCACCTCCTCCTCCTCACTCCTCCTCCTCCTCCTCCTCCTCCTCCTCCTCCTCCTCCTCCTCCTCCTCCTCCTCCTCCTCCTCCCCCCCCCCTTTTCCCCCTCTCCTCCTACCTCCGCTCTCCTTCCCAATCCCCCCCCCCCCCCCTGCCGTCCACCCTCCCTCGCAGCCATTCTGGTTCAAGACGGAGCTGGCGTCCCGCCCCGACTCCAGGGGCCCGAGGCCGAGGCGGGAGGGCAGCCCCCTCCGCAGGCCCTGCTGCGTCGGCCAGCTCTTTGCAACCCGCCTCGGCCAAGGGGGGCCCCGCAGCCCACGCCCGGGGGGCGATCTGTCGCTCACTGTACACCTTAGGCGATGCTTAAGAAAACCTAAGTTTTCGGCCAGAATCTCGATTATTCTTAACGTTTCAATGTAAATCTTAAGAGTTGAATTGGAATGTTGGGTTATTACTCAAGTTCTGAGACTATGAATTTCTTAACCCATGATTTCTTAAGCATTTCGCGGGGTGTACTTGGGAACCCCCAAACCGGGTGGTGAGATACCAGGTGGCGACCTGGAATCCCCAAAAAGGTCACCGCTGGGTTTGGGGACGCGGGGTCACCACCGGGTTTCGTGACTCCTGGACCCACCAGTGTCCGGGACATCCTCGGAAAACCGCACGAGTCCCCAAACCGGGTGGTGACACCAAATCGCCCGAGACTCACCGCCAGGTGTTGTCACCACCACGTTTGGGGACTACCAATGTACGTCTGGTTCTTTGCGGTGGCAAGCCCTACCAGGCGTGCCAGCGTGCTGGCTGCAGTGGACGGGCCTACGCCGGCAGGGGCGCCGCCTTCTGCATCCAGTGTTCCACGCAGTTCCAGGATGCCAGGCAGCATCAGCGAGAGCATCGTGGAGGGGGCGGCGCTGAAGAAGCGCCCAGACGTGCAGTATCTTGGGGTCCAGTTGCAGAAGATCAAGCAGCAAAGGTCGTGGACGATGGCGTCGCAGTCGTTCGGGAGCTCGTGGTGAAGACCACCACGCAGCTCAGCTTTCAGGAGCTGCGGCGGTTCCACCACCAGCTTCTTGGAAGGCGTGGGCAGGCGACGACAGAAATCAAAACACAAATGCGATCGAGGCCCTTAAGCAGGCTAAGCAGCATGCGTTGTCGGGCAAGTCTCCTGATCAAGAGGCTCAGAACATCAACCACCAGCTGGCCCAGCAGCGGCGACGCTTGGTCAATTCCAAGACCACTCTCGGGCAGTTGGGCGGCCAGATGGCGATGCCGGCGGAGAGGCGCGGTAACGCTCTGGCAGATGTTCAGGACATCAGCAAGGATATTTTGAGGTTTGAGGCGCAGCTTCAGGTGGCTACACGTACGGTGGCACCCTCGATGACCCAACAGGGAACGATGCCCGACGTGTTCAAGGGGATCATCGCTTCGCACCGACGCATCACGCGAGTATCTACTCCCAGAAGTGGATCAGAAATTCGCCGAAGTCCCTTACATACTCGTCAAGATTGCGCAGCAGCATAAAAAATAGTACATACCACCCCACAGACGCCAGCTGACTCAGCGGCAGCAGGAGCAGCGCAACCAGTAGTGGCGGTGGCTAATCAACCTGTACCAGCGCCTGCAGCTGCGGCGGCGGCAGGCGCAAACACAGTCAATATCTCCGTTGGCCGCGACGAAAACGACGAGGTCATGGAGGAGGCCCGCAAGAGAGCTGCCGGGCCGATGGCGCAGACCATTTTCGGCGTTCGGGAGGCCCGCATCGCGGAGGATGAAACCTACGTCCAACGATGCGCAGCCCCCGAATCAACCAGATGGTGACCTCGCGGGCGCGGGCGAATGTCAGCATGATGCAGTGGAGGCCCATGCCAAGAAACCCCCTGCTTGCCTCCAGGATGCCCTGGGTTCTTGGGTCTCGATGGCTTTGCTGTGGAAGGCGTGGCGTTCGCACACCAGAAAACAATGACCGCCCTGGAGTCTCAGGGTTGGAGTTCTTGTGGAAGGTTTTTTGTGGTCGGGCCTCTGCTGTGTGTAATCAACACGGTCAGCATCATGACGGTCAACGGCAGTTGTCGGAAGTCAGTCGAGCAGTTGCTGGAGGCTCATGTCGATTCCTCCGAGTCGATTCGGTTCGATTTCGATGACTTCCGATTCCGATTCGATTCGGCTTCGGATTCCAATTTGGGTATTTTTCGATGGAGGCCTACTAGCCTGCCGATGTCCACCGATTCGATTTTTCCCCACTCAGCTGCCGATTTCCGCCGATCCGATTCATCTCGATCACCGATCCGACTTGTCGATTCGATTCGATTCTGGCCCCCGGGACCCTCTCTGATCGAAACATGGGGCCGAAAGATGAGGTCCGTGGCTCTGGCCGTGATTTTCACGATGTTTCATTTTTGTCGCGCCGTCGGATCTCAGGCATCGTCCAAGGTAGAACGATCCACGTGGTGTCAGAAACCAACTAGAAGGTTGGGGTTATGGCGAGGATAGAGTGGTTCCACAGCGTCCCAGAACGCACGGAGAGTTCTGGAACGCTCTGAGAAGGCCGGGCCGCCCGAGACGTCGTCCAGAACCGCCAGATCACAGGGATTCCCTCTGCACGAACGAGATGGGCACGGAAAGAATTGGCACAATGCTTAACAGCAGTTCCTGTTCATTTTGAACAGGATTCGCTGTCCGCGCCGCCGCGGCCTGCGTCCATTTGAGACAGAAGGCCGCCTTCCCAACAGCGGCCGCTGTTGGTTTGGGACAACATCTGTTGTTGGGCATTGTACCTATTTTTTCCGTACCCATTTCGGGCGTCCAAATTCCCGATATTCCCTCACCCGGTTTCATTCTCGTCCTGGCTTCGTCTTCAGCCGAGGTTGGGCCGGCACGGCACGGGCCCGCTGGTCACGCCTCATTGCGCCCCCCCCCCCCCTTCAAGCAGGCGCGGCGCGGCCCTCCGGAGGAGGAGGAAGAGGAGGAGGAGGAAGAGGAGGAGGAAGAGGAGGAGGAGGAAGAACAAAAATAATAATAAGCATAATAATAATATTAATAATACGAAGGAGACGAATAAGAATAATCATAATAATAATAAGAAGAAGACTAAGAAGACGAAGAAGAGGAGGAGGAGGAGAAGGAGGAGGAGGAGGAGGAGGAGGAGGA